ATGGAATTTTTTTGCACCACAATGTAAACAAATTGATGGTTGGACAAGAACATGGGATTCAGTAGGAATGTTTTGCAAACTAAAGTTTGTAGTTTGCTGATTATTTTGTACACCATCATCAGATCGAAGTCGGTCCTCTTCACAGGCATACTGACTATTGTGATCTCGTGTACAAATTCTAGTTGTTGAAGATACACTATAACTACAGTTGGCAACTACAATAAAACAAATTGCCATTAAGATTAAGATATACAAATACTATTGATTTGTAAGGAATGAAAGTAGCTCGCGAAGAAAATTTCATGCTAGGAAACATAGGTAACGAAAGGGCAAAATTTTGTAAACTTACTTATTTCAGGTTTGAAAGAATTCTGATCTAGAATATTATCTGTATGACCTTGATCTTCAAGCCCAAGATGCTGAACGTGCTCTACAGTTAAATAATTTGGTAAAAAAATCGTCAACAATTTTTATCATATAGATTATGGAAAAAAAACCATAATGCCTATGAAAACATTCTTAGTATATCTATGAAATTTACACACAGAAGATAGTACGGAATGAAAAAATGTGTACCCATTTCAGAAGCTTTATAGCTAAATTCTGCAGATGCATCAAGTGTAGTGGAATTCAATGGAAGAGCTGCACACACAAAAAGAATGAAAAGAAAATAACCAAAAATATCTACATCAATTAACATATATAATAGACAAACTTAACATATCAAATTATTTTCCTGGAAAAGCAGTATAAGTAAATCCTCCACAAATACCTTCTTCTACTATTCTCNTTTCCTGGAAAAGCTGTATATGTAAATCCTCCACAAATACCTTCTTCTACTATTCTCTTCCTTCTTAGATGACGATTATGTGTATGTGCAGTTGCGCTTCTTTGAGCATCCACTTCCCGTAATCGTGCAACACGCAACTCTCTTGCTTCAGCGTATAATTCTCGACGTCGTGAATTAAGACTTTCTTTCGCTTTAGCATAAATTTCTCTACGACGTTTTTTCCGTACTTCACAACTTCCACCACTACCATCGGCAGCATCCATAAGATGAATAACTAAATACAATAAAGTATATCGTTCAAAATAGTATATAAGACAATAAAACATTCACCATTACAAGAAACAACATTAACATGTACATATGCCAAATAAAAACCTACAGAAACTTTCATCACAAGTTATAGGAAACTTCTCCTACCATGCTTTAGTTGTCTATGATAAATAACAGACATTTCACACTTACATACCAAGATGCACCTAATGGCCAAAGGTGATATCAGTAAGCTAGAACAAGAAAACAAAATGAATTTGAAAATACTAACTCAAAATAATATCAAATGCATTGGAAATAATATGTGTTCAGCAACCTTCTTCAACTTCCAGTCATTAGAGGTGACACTTTTGTCACCCCATTTATCTATGTGACTAAGTTTATGTTCCATTTGTGGTTCTTTGCGAATTTACAATAGATCTCTTATTTGTCAAGATAGAGAAGCATCGAAAGAATGCAATGAATCATTTGATTAAGACACTCAAGTCACAAAATATTATATGCTAATGAAAGTTTATTGTCTTATTATATTCCTTTCATACTATGTAGAAAAATTATTTTCTCAAAGTTGGACCCAATTTTGACATGTGCCCATTACTTGTATATATCTAAAAAATAAAGGAAAAACACCATCATCCACCTTTAACATATTCCCTGTGTTACAAGTTCATCCTCAACTTCTATTGTGAGCATCTTCTCAAATCTTTTGAGTTGATAGATTATTATTTATTTAGACCATAAAACTTAAAATATTATTATTGTATAATGTTGACATAACAAAATCACGTGGATTGGTTTAATAAACTTTCCACATAATTCTCCAATATTAGTAATGAAGAGATGCCAAATAATGCAATACACTTACTATATATATACACACACATAAGCATATTAGGTGTCCTCACCCTCACAAGCTAAACAAAAAAAACGAAATAAATAAATAAAATAAAACTATTTTTAGTCTTATATTGTAAGACATAAATCCTTCTTATCAGAAGACTAATACACAAAACTAAAAAACGAAAACGAAACGAAAGATTTAAAGTGGTTGAAAATATAAAGAACAAATGAGTTTTACATTATGAGCAATACATGAAGGTTTTGTGAAGATGATGAACGATATGAGGAACTGCATAAGGGTTATGGCCAAATTTAATTCAATTATATGATTTGCATGCAAAAACTTCCTCAAACCATCGTCGGACATCTTCTATGAAACTTGAAAGCTTCAATACTCAAACAAAATGCAAAATAAACAACCATAGAAAAAACGCATCTCCAATTCTCATTTTGTAAACACCACACATATAGAAGATCAATAAAAACCCAGAACCTTGTTATAAATCTTCAACCCCCAAGAAAGGAATTGAGTAGAAAATGGAGACATATAGATCAATTGTCACAGGACATAGTAGTTGCAAGCAGTACATTTGTTGCAAACTGGAAGCTTGTAACACATCACAAATAAAAAGAAATTAACTGCTGGCCAGTGAATTGATAAAAATGGACAGAAAAATTGCTGAAAACAAAATATCTTTCTGAAAAATGTGTAAAAATGTGATAACAACGATAATGTAGAAAGAGGATTCACAAGTTTGGATTTGCTTCTTTCTTCTTTTTGGACGGGAGAGGGCATGTGGCCTTGTGTTTTTATTTAAATTTGTGTTTTTTTTTTAATTTTAATTTCTTCACGCTCAGATTCAAATAAAGAGTTACGAATTGCTGGCACTGACTCCGTGAAAATTTGTTTATTTTTGTTTGATTATGAATTTTGAAACTATTATTGTGTATGGAATTGTCAGTGCATTTAGCTATTAGTAACTGTTTCAGTTTAATGTACTGACTTATGATATATTGATGGAAAAATAAAAGAAGCTAGATGATGGCAGTGACAACTTTGGGCATAATTTGGTCAGTAGTAGATTAATTTTTGAAACTGTCAACATAAAAATGGTAAGAACGGGAAAAAATATACACGAGCAAGAAATTAAACAATGAATACACAACAAGAACATAAAAGGAACAAATTTTAGCTATTTCGAATTCGATTTCTCAAACGATCGAACAAAAAAATGAAAAAAAAAAAAGCAGATTCAACAATAGAATGAATGCAAACTTTACCAAGGTGTTTAGCTTTTTTAACCTTTCATTGATCGAGGAAATAAGGTGGATAATCTCGAATTCAAGATTCCATCCAGGTTGAATTGTCAACTGATATATCACATTCAACGACAGTTTCGCAATCAGGGAAAAAACTGAATTAAAGATAGGCCTTTGTCAACAAACAATTGTAAATTACAATATCAGAAAAATAATATCGTAGATAATAGAAGCTAATAAAAAAATTAAATTTTATGTTGACCACTTTAAAACAAATTTTGGACGGAAAAATAACAAAATATAGGGAACTACGAACGTAATAAAGTTTCGTTTGAAAATTTTGGTCCTCGTAACTTGCCACACTAATTTTTATAGCCTAATGAGTATCTGATAGAACCAAACAACTGTCCACATGGCAATGACAACTTTGGGCATAATTTGGTCAGTAGTAGATTTTTGAAACTGACAACATAAAAATGGTAAGAACGGGAAAAAATATACACGAGCAAGAAATTAAACAATGAATACACAACAAGAACATAAAAGGAACAAACTTTAGCTATTTCGAGTTCGATTTCTCAAACGATCGAACAAAAAAATGAAAAAAAAATAGCAGATTCAGCAATAGAAGTGAAGAAATCGGTACAAATATAATTGGTAGAAGCTGTAATTTTTTATTTTTTTTTGGTTTCTTGGTTTTAAGAGAAGTATAGTGATAATAAGAAAGAAAAGCAATAAAGTAGGCTGAGAAGAAGAAACCCATTTACCTAAGAGGCCGAAATCGTACAGTATCGATGAGTTTTCCACAACGAAGAAGATGGCGGCAGATTTTTGGAAAGGAAAGGGAAGATTGCAGAAGGTAAATACAAGGGTTTTCTTTCGTATGCTGGAGAAGGAGAACGA